CAGAGTGCAGAAATTGAATGCAAATGATATGGTGATCTTGTAATCATGATGAATTACAACCATGTAATTGAATGTATTTTGTGATTTGTGGCATTTGCCCTACTCAAGAATAAGTTGGAGGTGATGATCAAATAGAGAATTGAGAGCATTCTTAGCTTATAGGACAATTTATAGATTGTCAGGACTCAAGCTTTCTTCTTATCTTCATTGTGATGGGCTTGTCAGAACTAGGATTGGGAGTTTATGGAAGTTTTGTGATCTTGGGTGAAACTCTGAGGAAAATCCCACTGTAATAATCGAGTATTGTAGAAATAATAACAGTTTCATGTATTGGGGAATTGGAAAATCTGTGACTTCTGTATTATTCTAGTTTCCATAAAATTGCAAAATTTTAGTTATGTCCCTGACTCCCTGCTTGGATTTCTTATTTTTAAACTTCTGATAAATTGGTTATGCAGTATGCAAAGTCTGTCAAACCTGCATTTGATGATTTTGTTCTGCCATCCAAGAAGTATGCTGATGTGATCATTCCCCAGGGAGGTGATAATCATGTTGCCATTGACTTGATTGTTCAACATATCCGCACTAAGCTTGGTCAGCATGACCTCTGCAAAATATATCCGAATGTCACTGTGATTCAGTCAACATTTCAGGTATATCTCAGGTTAATGATGCCACTCTGGTATTGTTATTGACCTGTATTCATCTGTTTCATTTTGCATTCTTTCGATGTATGAGTATATGTGTTTTCTAGCCAAATTTTTTCCCTAACATAAATTGCTGTCCATGACTTCGGTGGACCTTTCTACCCAAATATTTAGGTAAATGATTGTTGAACCAGAATAACTGATTGTTGGCTTTAGGCTTAATTAAGTAAGGTTTAGAGCTTAATGGTTAGAGAAAAATGAAACAGATGCCAGCTATTGAGATTGGGATGTCATTATACCTTGAATTTCTATTTTATTGATTGAAATAAAAGGGCAGAAGACAGTATATATGGTGTGTTCTAGGTCCAACAAGAAGATTGTTTTTGACATTAAACATATGATGCAACAACTCTGTTCCTTTTAAGTTCTCTATTACAATTTTATGTCTGATTTATGAGACTTGCGGTTCAGATAAGAGGGATGCATACTCTGATCCGAGATCGGGAGATTTCAAAGCATGACTTTGTCTTCTATTCTGATCGACTTATTCGTCTGGTATCTTCTGCTTCATAACTTTAGTTAATAATCTCTTCCTTTGGCCAAGGATGAAGGCCTGTGGTCCTTAGAAGTTTTGATTTTGACTTAGGTTGTAGAGCATGGCCTTGGACATCTGCCATTCACTGAAAAACAAGTAGTTACACCAACAGGTATGTATGGGAGAAAGAAAAGTGAGGTTTGAGCTCTTTTGAAATTCAGTCAGTTTTTTAAACAATGACTGATTTAGGGAGTATGCAAATGGAAACTGAAGGAAACTATTTATTTAAAATGTTCACTGATTTATGCATGTTTCTTTGTAAATGTCATGGGTTTTAGATTATTGGTAGTGCTTTTTCAAGC